GGTTCAGATCCGGAAGCCCGATCATCGTGTCGTCAATATCGAGTTAAATTGCCAATACGAAGTCCTTCCTTGGACTGTCGCTGATTTCTCCAGATGTATAAAAGTAGAATTCGTTCATACGAGAGAATGGTAAGGGTTGTATTCGAAACGGTGAAATCATTGCTCTGCGATTCAAGTTCTATGCAACAGACTCGAGTAGGTATTTCAACATTTTCAATAAAATTTAGAAAAATCACCATTATCCTCATTAACTTGGTAAAAGTTATCAGTCCTGATTAAGGAAAAACGACGATCCTTCGTGTCTAAAGAAAAGGATTTGCACAGCCTTGATAACTGGATTCAGACAGTGACCCCAGCCGATCGTTGCCCCTTAGGTTGCTGCCCGTTTGCTCGTGGTAACGATTACGAAGAACAGATTATACATGTACATGTACATCTTTCGATGTGGATATTGCACTCTATCCTTTATTAATGAATCGTGTATGGTCTTGTCCTCGCTGGTGCATTTATATCTGAATTCGGTGATTTCCATTTCCATTTATAACCTGCACTTCAAACAGGCCCGTTTCATTCCTCTCGACGAAGATGAGAAAGGGTAGCGGGATAGGAGAAAGAGAAAGACATCAACGATGGAAAGTATAGGAAAGGAGAAAAATAAGGTACAATATTGGATCGAAGATATCCTCGAGGCAAGCTGGTCGAAGCGAGAAAGAAAGGGGATTATGGATGGTGGTGTTGTAGCGGGAGGGATGAAGGAGCTCGAGAAGTCAGGACCGTTCGTCCGTGACGATCGACGCGCCGCCAAGAGTTCGTTATACTTGAAAGGAGATCGACAGAAGGCTATCCTTACCGGTGAACAACTCGCGTTTGCCTGGAGGAGCCCGACGCGGCAGCAGTCCTTGGAGAAAAATTCGTTTCATCGAACCCAAAGTAGTCGTCCTTAGGTCGAATGAAAAATAATTTCATTACTGCGGGAGCTTGCGCAGCATATCACAGGGACGGACTTACCGCCGAGAGCTCGCGCGTTACTTCATTCATGAATACGATGTAACTACATATTTCTCGGAGTCGCGCGACAACGGAGAAACAAGTTTCTCGGATAGAAGTTAGACGAGGGAATCGATAAAATGTCGAATACAGCGATACCTTGATAAATGCGACACGAGCAACGGTGTTATTCCCACCATTATGGGAGTCCCCCTGTGGATCCAATCAAAATAGAGTAGACAGAAGCTAAGCAGAGGCTCGGCTTCGGGGAAAAAAAAGAAATTTTTGTGAGGGGCTGAAAACCTTTCATGAATGAACAGAACAGTCTTGCTTGCACTATTGCGGGCGTAGATTTTACATTTTCCTCGACCTACAAATTACACTGGCACCAGCACTTTTGCGTGCACGCTGGCACGCGATACGCAATCGTCGACGCAAGACTGTCCCATGTAAAGTTGATTAATACGAATGTAGACGACAATTCTCTCATTCGTTGACATCGTTGCTGGTTCCTTTGTAGCTGCATCGGCGATTCGTTCGAACTCTGACTCTGAAATGTTCACTGCAGCCCTGTTACTTCAAGAAAGGAGTCGTTACTGCAGGGTTGGTACCCTCGGAGTGGTGTCGCAGTATCCTGTGATTCCATATCCGTGCTTCGGTACGTTGCCCTCGCGCACGATCCATGTACGTGCGAGAAATAATTAGAATACCTAAACGAGTATGCGAGTGACGAACGTTGCGAAGATGCTTGAGCATTTCAGTCGTTGAGATTTCTTCGATGTCTCCTGGCGTTCTGAATACGAAAAAAATATATATATTTACGTTCTCCTTTTTTCTTCCTTCCTTCCTTCCTTCCTTCCTTCTTACTCCCCTTTCGTTCTTATTCACTCTTCTCCCTGAATTCGTGATTACTTGTGAGAACAACGTAACATGGTATATCGATTGATATTATCGACTATTCTTCTCGCCCTTGAATTTTAAATATCCATTTAACTACCAATTCGTTCTCCTATAATATTCAGATATCATTCTCTTCCATCTTTATCTCTATCATTATTACCTTCGTTCTCATTGCCATTTCATTCAGTTACCGATTTCATATTTAATTGGAAAGTTATTGGTCGAAGCTATTTACAAAATAGAAAATCTACTGTTAGATCATTCGTGCATAATCAAGCAAATTTTACCTTCATCTATCTATCTTAAGATATTATTTCGAGGATAAAATGCTAATTCTGTGCGTGTGTGAGAAAGAGGAAGAGAGAAAGAGAGAAGTGGAAGTGCATCGAAAAGTGAAAACGAAGGGCATTCGGGCCAGGTATCGGGGAACGACCGTCCGTAGCTAAGGAATGACGGGTAGGCATCAGGTATCCGAGAGGCGGCGATATCTGAGCTTGGCAGTTTGGTAGGTTTTAACGCTCGGCAGCGTTTCGATTCGTGCACCGAAACGTGCCCTCTGAAAACATTTCAGAGCATCGTGCAACTCAACCAAACGGAATCAGATTTGAGAGACTGTAACTAAACCCAGTGTGTACGTATAAACCGCAGAATATATCTACATGTAAATTTTAACCGAATGGATCGTATCTGCCGCATCCGGAATGCATTACTATTACAAAACAGCCGACGGACGATTTGATAGTCAAAGGAAAACACCGTTTCTCGGTATCCTGCCATAGTCGGAGGGACAGACTGTGTCGGATCACTGGTTGCTCGACAGTCGTTTTGTCGTTGTCGTCTAGAATACACGATACTTTACCGCGCTTGCTACTTGAAATCAATGATAGTATGGTTTCGATTAATATCGCGTACGTAGTTTATTCCAAGTTATGATTTAAACAGTGTTAAAGAAATTTTCTTCGCCTCATAATTTTACTGCGAAGTGTGTATTCTTTTTCATATAATAACGATCGTAAGATCACGAGTCCTCTTGTTTCACGCCGTTTCCATGCTTCGCGTTTGCCTTTGCAACAGTGATTAAATTCTCGGCATGAACAAGCATTGAACAGGCCAATAATAAAACACGTGCCCACCACCTGTATTCATAATTGTTATTTATTTTACGGTATTATACTGCGTCTGATAATCGTTGTTGAAACACAAGAACTTCTATTTCGAATATTCTTTAATTCATATTTTTACTGTATTTCTCTTTGCAGTTGACACCATCATCACGGATTATCATCCGACGAACTCATTCAGAACGTTTTTAGATCGTTAACATTAAATCGCAAATATCCACGGTTGCAATGAATCTCGCTTATGCGACGTTATTCGCATTTCTCTTCGTTCTCGTGTACTTTTTCAACAAAAGCCGAAAGTTGTCGCGTCGTCGTCCTCCTGGCCCATGGCAACTTCCAATCCTTGGCTATCTTCCTTGGATCGACGCAGAGAAACCGCACGTGTCTCTCACGGAACTGGCGAGGACTTACGGTCCCGTCTGTGGACTTCGCATGGGTTCTGTCTACACAGTCCTCCTCTCGGACCCCCGATTAATAAAGCAGATTTTCACGAAGGATGCGTGTACTGGCAGAGCACCGTTGTATTTGACGCACGGAATTATGCAAGGATATGGTAAGAGACCGATGCACAGATTTATTTATTTTTTTCTATCGATTCGTTGTCATCTTTTCCTAATGTATAACTTCCCTTTCAATCAATTTTCTTATACGATGGTATTGCGTATAAATTACAATATATCTATAGGTATATCTGTTTATAGTCGGATTATTGTTTAGTCGTAGAGGCGACATAAAATTGTTAACTACCCTGATACATAGATCTAGACTGGATAACGTTTAAAGCAGAGTGTCGAGCTAAACGGAGGGGTTCGAGGAGAACAGAAAATTATCGTTGAAATTCTGTTCGTTTTTCTGAGCCGATCGGGGATTCTGATCCCAACTTCTGTTGGGGTTTCTGTGCGCAGGACTGGTTTGCGCCGAGGGAGACCGGTGGAGAGACCAAAGGAAATTCGTTGGCACCTGTTTGAGAAACTTCGGTATGGTGAAGCACGAAGGATCGAAACGAGAGAGAATGGAGAAAAGAATATTGAACGCTGCGGACGAATGCGTATCGGTACTTTGAACATTCATTTATTCCTCTCTTATTTTTTCATTATCGAATGGATCGATCGATGACGCAACTGTTTGCTGCATTGCTCGTATACATTCGCGGTGTCCGAATGTCGAAGCGGCAGAAAGGTTGTTCACCGATGCAGATATGATTTTCGTCACGGCATTTCTAGAAACTCGAGCAACGTTCGATAGACGGTCCAATCAATCCGATGGACACGCTTCACCACTGTATGGGCAATTTCATTAACAGCATAGTTTTCGGAAAAACGTACGAAGAAGACGAGCCTGTTTGGAAATGGTTGAGACACCTGCAAGAAGAAGGTGTCAAGCACATAGGTGTCGCTGGACCGCTCAACTTTTTGCCTCTTCTCAGGTACCCTCGCGGGAGCAAACTCGACTTCCGTTAGGGGAAAAAGTGGCGTAGGGAAAGAGCTTCCTATTTCTCCTAGCGGAAACCGAGTTTGCTCGTCGTTGTACCTATCCACTTTGGTGTATTCTCTACGATTCGACAGCTAATGGTATCTATACATTGGCAAACGCTCGTGCTCGTTAGATTCTTACCACGATACGGCGAAATGATACGGTCTATCGTCGATGGAAAGGAAAGGACGCATCGAATATACCGCGGCATACTCGACGAGTATCGTAACCGGATCAACATGGCGACAGCTTCAGAGAACGAGAAAGATAGCTTTTTAGCAGCGTTCGACGAACAGATGCGAGAAGAGGGGAACGCTGCCGAGGGAGGATATTTCACGGAGTCCCAACTTTATCATTTGTTGGCTGACCTTTTCGGCGCTGGGACCGACACCACCTTGACCACATTACGTTGGTTTCTTCTGTTTATGGCTGTCTATCCAGAAGAACAGGTATAACATCGTCTCGATACGAATACACGTTACTCATGACGTACGATCGTGGTCGAATAATCGAGCGATTTTTAGAAAAAACTTCAACTAGAAATGGATGAATGTTTGAGCACCAAGGAGGAACCAACGTTAAAGGACAGAGAATTCATGCCTCGCCTCGAAGCTGCTATAGCTGAAGTACAGAGACTTCGAAGCGTCACACCGTTGGGTATTCCTCACGGAACGTTAGAGGTGAGAGTGTACTACGGCTGATGGAAAGAAAAGTTTGTAAATTTTATTATAAAATACACGCAGTTTACGGATAAGTATCTGTGTGCGATAGGAAACTGAAATCTGCGGCTACGATGTCCCAAAAGGCGCAATGATCGTGCCGATGCAATGGGCCGTTCATACCGATCCTATTTACTGGCAAGATCCCCTCGAATTTCGACCCGACAGATTCCTGACGGATGATGGACATTTCTTTAAGCCGGAGTCATTTCTTCCCTTTCAAACCGGTAATTATCATTAATTATTCTATGTTCCTTTTTTACTTTGTTTTCGATCAAAGAGTCGAGTAAGTTGAACGGTGGTATGTTCTCGTTCATTAAACAATCCAGGGAAAAGGGTCTGCGTTGGCGAAGAACTGGCCCGAATGATATTGTTCCTTTTCGCTGGACGAATATTACGAACGCTCGACGTGTCTGTACCGCAGGATGAAACCATCGACCTCGAAGGCGACTCCGGTATTACGTTAGTTCCAAAACCTCACCGGTTGATGTTCGTCGCGAGGTGTCGGTCGACGAGGGATAGGTAATTCCATTTTTGCAACCTTATTTTCTTCCACGAATCGTTTTTGCATATTATCACGGACTGCGACATCGTACGTCTGTTTCATTTAACGTTACGTATATGTAATTTGTAGCCATGAAAAAAGTCATTTATCTGGAAGACAGTTTCTTTTCCCACGTTTCCTCTGTTGTCCTTTTACTGGCATCTCTGTTTACTGTTACTGTACTTTGTTCGGTCGTAATTGTTAATTGAGTAACATTTAATTTCGTCGTATGTTCTCTTCTTCGGTTCTCCCTTTTCACACGAACACGAATAGCACCGTAACGTTGCCTGTCGAACGTTTTTATTGACGAAGGAGGGTCGAAACGATCGCGAAGGTTACTACCACAGTGTAAACGAGAGTTTTGTTCGTAAAATAGGAATAAACGATAACCTCGGTGAAGTTGAAGGTAATCGAATCGTATGGAAAGAATAATTACCACTGTACAGGGTGATTAAACGATGGAAATTACATTGTTCGGTAAATATTAATAAATGTAATGAGAATGTATTATTTATTTTTAATACAAGAAAACAGACAGAACTCTTCTGTAGACCCAATATGTATGCTGTTAACTTAACACTGGGGAGTCACAAATTGATATTGGGCAACTATCGTTTCGTACGTAGTTGATTGTTTCATATCCTGCTTGGCAGTTAGGAGTAGGCAATTTGAGAGGAAAGACACAAACACCCTAAACTCGGGAAACAACACCTTTAATCGTAAGAAAAGAGAACAACATTAAATAACATAGATTCGCGGTCGGCGGATGAACACAATAAAGCACGGTCGTAAACCGCGATTCGAGCATACCACGTGTAAGTCTCTTAACTAGGGAACACGGTCGAGGCGTTAACACGATACTCCTTGCTGTGCCGCGAGAATCACCACCAGCCAAGGAGCATGTGAACAGCGATAAACAAAATCAACGACGCTTAGAAAAAAAAAAAAAAAAAAAAAAA